CCAGCTCACAAGACTCGCCACAGCTGCTTGCAAATATTTACCTGGCGGCCAGCGTCAGGGAAAAGCAGCCACAGGAAATCTGACTGCCTCAGTACTTTGAGTTACCCGAGACCACAGACCTAGCCCAGCACCACAAAGCCCTGGCAGCCGGCAGAGGCAGGGGCCACCTGTGCAGCAGCAGGCCCAGCTTCTCCCTGGACAGATGGTTCCATGTCCACTCAAGACGCTGTCGTGGAACACCCACACTCTGATGGGTGGATGAGGTGAATGTGTCCCACTCCATCAGCAGAGGTAAAGTTGAATCAAAAATAAGTGAGACCAGGACTGGGGGTGTAGCTCAGTGGTCGAGCATAATCTTCACGTGTGCAAGGCCCTGCGTTCAAACCGCAGCACCAAATGCATACAGGAAATAAATGAAGCCAGCCGATGAAGCCCGCACCTGCGGTCCCAGCTACTGGGAAGGCCGACACAGGGACATCACTCAAGGCCATCTGGGCCACAGAGTAGGACTCCCATCTCTAAATAAATTAACAAGTAAGCTGATTATAAATTGTGCTAAAGAGGTGAGGAGGCATAAGATAGGGATCATTGTTCCCACATGAGGGGTCGGGGTGGAGGGGCTGAGGGATAGGGAGCTATGCCACACAGGGGGTCAGGAAGGGATGTCTCTGGGGTCTGAGGTAGGATGTGATCACAGACCTGAAGGATGGGGAGGCCTCAGAGAAAGGAGATGCCCAAGGTCAGGGGTGGCTGGGCAGAAGTGAGGAGGGAACTTAAAGAGGGCTTCAGATCAGTAGGAATAGCCCAGGTAAGACACTGTGACCTCTTTGGAGCAACAGTGGGAAGTCCATAAAGCTTTTACACAGGACAGGCAGGACACCCTCTGAGAGAACCAGCACAGCTGGAAAAACAGCTGTAACAAAGTAACTTTCCCCTCCTGCCTCCCTCCATACCTCCCGGTATCTCTGCCCTGTGCTCCTGGCCTAAAGAAACCCAACAGCCCCCTTTCCCCTTTCTCTCCACCCACCCCCACATCTGTCTCTCTCTCTAAACTGCTCAGGAAAAAAGGAACCCCGCGGACAAAAAGCTGCCGCTGGATGAGGTTAAAAATACTCTGCGCACACGGCCAGTGGCTCATGTCAAGCACATTTGGAAACAGTTTGTATCCCAAGCTGAACTAGTTTGCCCTCGAAGCTGCTTTCCATTAAAGTGTTTACAGACACACTGTCCCTACTTCCTGGGACTGTCCTCCTCCAGGCTCCCGCTGGCCCCGTGGAGGGTCCTAAGGAAAGGGGACTTTCGACCCTCGGGCAACACTGTAGAAAGGGAGCTCTGGTCAAGTTGGAGGGCTGGGCCTGCAGGGGACACCCTGTCTCCTCCAGCATGCGGGGCGAGAGGGCTGCTCGGTGGGCTGTTCCCCAAATTTCTGCAGGGTCTCAACACGCCCGGCAAAGTGGGTGCATAATGTCTTCTCAGCAGAGAGGCAAAAACGAATTCTTTGGTCACGATCCCAGAAACAGCTCTGGCAACTGCAAGGCCCTGGAGATGGGAGGGCGGCCAAGGGCGGGAGGAGGTGAGAAGCCCAGAGCTGGGCTCCCCGTGGGGCGGGGCCACAGTGGCTCCTCCACCCTCCTTCTGTGGGCAGCACCCCGATGTGGTCGGCAATTCCAAGGGAACGTCTGTGGGGACTGCACAGGACAGATGTCCGTGGCCCCTTCCATTTCCTTAAAAGTGTCAGAAATGCCACCTTCCAAGGGCAGCAGCAGTGTGAGTGGTCGAGAACCCTCTGAGTAACTCATGACGCTGCAGCGGAACCCCAACTGTGAGCCACCAAGTTACTGGGCCCATAGATGTGGCAGGTGGCCACACTCTCTTCACGGGGCTCTTCATAGATGGCCCTGGGGAGACTGGGCCATAGTCTTTCACGACCAGGTGCTGCCGTAACCAAGTTCCTTCCTAGGGCCCGATTCTGGGGCTCTGCCTGCCTTCCCCGAGTTTCCCTGGTCTGTTTCTGTGTTGTCACTGTCCCTGAGATAGCACAATACCAGGCAAGCTCATGCCCCATCTGCTGCCCACCTCCCGCCTAAGACATCACGTGCAGATGGGTGAATCTGTGCAGGGATTCACTCACCCAGGTGAGGGGCTCTTTCCAAATGGAGCCTCATGACCAGCCAGACTGCTGCCCCACCCCCACCTGGCTCTCATCAAAACAAGGGGACAAAAGGGAAAAGCCTGGAAGAGGTGTCTTTTCCCCCCCTACTTCCAGCTAATCAGCAAAAAAGAAGAAAGAAAAAAAACAGCAGTTAGTCAGTGGAAAGCGGCTTTTGTGTGGGTGTCTGCAATTTAATATCCTTTCATTTCCGATTCCATTTTGAAAAGCCACATCAGTTCAATTTTAAATTTTCCAGCACCCTTTTTTGGGGGCTGGCAACACATGTCACGCAGCAGGCTGCTGGCTACACAGCTGGACTCCCAGGGACAGCACAGCCGTGTCCGCCTGCTGGAGCGCCCACATCTTGCCTGGAGAGCCAGGGATGACACAGGCTCCAGGCTCCACTTTGGCTCAAAATCTGAGAAGATTCCTGGGCCAGGAGCAATCGCACGGAATGCACCACACATTCCAAACACAGAGTCACTCTGCGGGGACAGTGCAGGCACCGTGCAGGCCAGCACCCGCCTGTAGACAGCTCAGCCCCACACTGGCCACCTTCCAAGGGCTCGGAGGAGCTGAAAGTCACAGATGTGGCCACAGCCCGTGCTATTCTGGCTGCCCTCCTTCCGGTGAGACAACCACGTCCTGCACACCTTTCTAGCAGAGTTCTAAATGGGGATGTGCCAGCCTTCCTACAGGCTATTTAGAATGAGCTGTCCCATCACAAAGAGGACAGGCTCCATCCCTGAGCTCGTGGCCATGGGCTTGGGCACTTGGGGAGCAGAAGCCTGACTGACCAGGAGGCTGGGGTAACTAGGTGCAGCTGTGTGGCTTCAGATGGATCACTTACACTCTCTGAGCCCTGTTTCTCCCTCTGTAAAATGGGGATGATACAGTTATCTTGCATACAAGTAAACGAAAGTGGGGCCTGGCCCAATTATCTTGTGACCAAGAAACAATTTTCAAAGATGAGCTGTTGCTAGAAATTCCACGGTGACCTACCAGAATAACACACAGTTGTGGTCTCACTGAAGGCCATTTACTCTGTGCATGAGCACAGAGCCTGGATCTACCCTGAGCTTCTCTGGCCTGGGCCGGGGTGCACAGCCGAGCGGGTGAGGGAACATGCATAGATGTCTCAAAGCTCGTGTTTTCTGAAAAGCTGTCTGGGAAGGAGCAGCAGCCTGGTGCTGTTAAAAAATAAATTAATAAAATGAAAGATCCAGAATCCAGAATCCTGTGCCCAAACTGAACACAGAACTAGCTCCACCAAGCAGCCACACCTGTTTGACCTCACAGGCAACACCCAGGGGAAGCTGGAGGGGAGCCGGACAAGACCCCGGCCCCCGATCTCAGTCTAGGGTCTCTTCCTAGTCCAGCCACAGGATTCCAGCTGACCCCTATTCCTCCTTCCATCTGGAGTCTAGAAAACTGTAAGGATGTGAAGAAAAAAAAAAAAAACAGAAAAAGCAATTTCATTGCACTTGGCACCTGGCAAACTAAACTAATGCTCTGTAATCAACATGACGATGAGTGGGAATTTTTGATGATCCAACAAGAACTGGATTTCGTTCCAGGCATGAAGACTTTGCTAAGAAATCTGCAAAGCAAAAATGACTTCGAGGAGACTAGTCAAACAGAAACATCTTCTTTTTTGTTTTTGTTTTGTTTCTGGTGCTGGGGACCAAACCCAGGGCTGCATGCATGCCAGGGAAACCCTACCACTAAGCCGTGTTCCCAACACCAAACACATTTTCAAATACAACATTCCCCAACTGGAGCTCACTCTGTCTCAGCTTTGAATCCCACTTCCCATCCCTGCCAAAAAAAAAAACCTGAACACTCAGAGAATTCTAATTTGAGCAAACATTGCAGTCCCAGCCACCCCCACCCGACCCCCACCACCACCACCACCCCCACCACCCCCGCACCCCCCCCCTTGGCAGGTGTACATTAGCATATTAAAGGCTCTGAGAAGTTCTGTAAAGAAGAAATCCATTAGCTTTGTTTTAATTTTAATTGGTTTCCAAGGCCCTTGGCCCTTTTCCTTTTGAGGTACTGAGAGTGAAGCCCAGGGCCTAGCACAAGCCAGGCAAGTGCTTTATCCCTGAGCTGTATACCATCCCCCCAAACTGTTTGAGTTTGAAGATGGATTGAAGCCTATCTAGTTACCCTGCAAAGTCCCCAACTGGGGAGACCTGTTTTATTCTCAAAGTAGTTGTTTGGTGTCAAAGATGGCTCATCCTAAAACCTGGTACGTCTATGCTACATGGTGAACACATAAGATACCCGTGGAGACAGACAAACTTTTAACAGATGCCTCAGGATCAGAAATGGGAAGGAGACTCAATTACCACTGTTCACCTACTAATTTCTTTCTTTTTTTTTTTCCCTTGGTACTCTGGGTGGAACCCAAGGATGTTCTACCACTGAGTTATATCTCTCTCCAGGGTCTGAAGACAGGATCTGGCTAAGTTGCTTTGGCTGGCCTCGAACTTGTGATCTTCCTGCCTCGGCCTCCCAAGCAGCTGTGATTATAGGCATGCGCCACCATACCCAGCTCCACCTACTTATTTCTTTACCAACCTATTGCTTTATTTTATAAACAGTTTAAATATCTGTTGTGAAACTCTCTGACCTGGAAGGAGACAGCTTTTTCCCACAGCTTTTCTGACCCCCTTGCCCTCCCTTGCTCTAGGCTATACTCCCCAAGGCCTCTCCCTGGGATCCCAGGAAGTCAGATCCCAGGTGCCTTTACCAGGTCTGGGTTTGGCCAAGATCTTGGCTAGGATGTCTGAGATCTGGGCTCTGCAGGTGGAGCACTGTCAGGGACACAGAAGCCGCTCACCTGGTGGTCAATCTTGATAAGAGCAATGTCCGCCTTTTCGTCTACGTCCTTGATTTTGGCTTCATAGGTGGCTCCACTTTTCAGCTCGACTTTGACACGGTGCTTGTTGGTCACTACGTGGGCATTGGTCACAATCAGTCCATCTTCTGACACAATGAACCCAGACCCGCTGGCCACTGGCACCTCCCTCTTGGAGAAAGGGAGCCTGGAACCAAAGGACAGAAGGTAAGCCCCCAATCCCAGATCTGTGCACCGCGCCCACCGAGGCTCTGGGGACTGGTTCTGTGTGAAGGGAATCGCTGCTTCACACACCAGGTTTAACAGCCCAAGACGAAACGTTGTGCCAGTTTTTGCAACACATCGAAAAATTCCACTTAGAAAATATTCTTGGGGAATCTCTGCAGAGCCAAACGTTCTTAAAGCATCTGAAGGGTCAAGAATGTAGATTTAAATAGTCAAATGGAAAAATGTCCTAAGAGAGAAGCATTTATCATAAGGCAAGAATCTACTCAGTGACACTCTGACACTTGAATGCATCTCAGAAATAGCACTGGTGTTTTGCTAAAGGCAGCATTTGTCATTGAAAGCTTCAGGTTAGAGCAAACAAGGAGGCCTCTTTACTTGCGAAATAACTCGATGTGAACCACTGCAGGAGCAATCTTCTCCACCACATCAGCGATGAAGTTATATTTATGGCGCAAACTGTTCGGATCTTCCTGCCCTGAGAACAAAGAAAAGACCAGGCACTTAACCGTACTGTGCTTTGTGCCGCGGGGCCTGGAGGGAGATGGGTTAGAGGGAGCCCACGTGCATCACAGCACCACCATGCACACTCACAAGCACACACACACACACAAGCCTGCACACTCACAGTCATGCATATGCACACTCAAATGCATACACACTCACACATGCACGTGCACACACATATATTCGTACGCATGCATGCATATATATGCAGATGCTCACATGCTCACATGCATGCACACACAGGTGCTTACATACATGCACACCTAGTCTCACATGAATGCTTGCACACACATACACGTCTCCCTTGACTCGAGGAAAGCAGCCATTCCCCAGGCTCTAGATTGAGTGAAAACTGGGACACTTTCAGGCCCTCTTGTGACTGGTCACAGCTCCCCATCTGCAGCCTCCCCCCGGCAGCACCTGAGCATCTGAAGATGGTGTCTCAGTTCCTCCCCAGCTGTGCCACCAGGGACCTCAGCAACCCAACTCCATACCACTGCACAGAGGGACACTCCAGGGCCAGCCTGCCTCTCTGGAGCGCCTCCTATTGGAAGTGAGGGAGCATCTATAGACAAAGGCCCTCTCTGCCTGGCTCCCTGGTTCTAACAAGCTTTTCAGGGTTGAAATCTGATCCTTTTACATAGAAAGATCAGAAAAAGCCCTGCTACTACTAGGGGAAATCAACTAATCTGACAAATACACGATAGCATCATTTTATTATTGCTGCTTTTATTATATTTGCTTTATCATGTGCTACCTCATTTTAGTTTTTTGTACCTTCTTCTGGAAGAAGAAAAAATATCAGATACTGCTCCCATAGTATATTTGGAGAAACTGAGGCTTACAGGTTTTTGAGTGACTTCTCCATAGATAAATAGCATGCATATATGACAGGAAAATCTGAGCAAGGCCCCTTGACTCCATGTTTTCTCCAAATCCACAACTTTCCCACTTCGGAACTCTCCCTAGACATATCTGCTGCCCTCCTAGGTGTGCAAGATAGAAATGAGGGGATGGAAATGCTCCTTTCAAACACGAAGCCTGGTGAATATCACCCAGAGGTGGCTGTAAACAAAGCATCTGGGCTTCCTGGGACAGGCTTCCTGAGCAAAGGCTGGGCAGAGGGCAGAGTGTGACTCAGGCAAAGCCAGCAACTCCCAAGAGCTAATGCATTCCTGAGGATCTCTCCAGAAGCACAACTACTGGATCTGCCCGCTGTGGATCATTGACTCACTTCCTCTTTCGGAGGTCCCACTTTGGGCAGGCCTGGGAGAACCTGCCTGCAGCAGGGCAAGATGAACCCAGGGGTTCCCGGCTCAGAGGAGAAGCCGGTGTTCTCTCACTAGTCTAGAAAAAGTGACCAGGAATCTGACCTGAACACTAGAAGGCCTGAGGTCCATCTTCATTCCGCAGAATGACCTCTGTCTCCATGTCCCCATCTGCAAAATGGGGCCAGTGCCTCTAGAATGAGCTGCCCTAGACTAAGAGTGAGCGCAGGGCTCTTCGACTTGGCAGATGAGTAAACGGAGGGAGGGGCAGCAGGAGGACAGATGGTGACAAAAAGCCCACAACAGGCCTGAATTGTGTGGGTCAGATGACCTCTGACTTTTCGAGACCATCTTTTCGTGGACCAGCATCCACAGGAAACTAAACAGAAACAACTGAACACAAGGAACATCAATGAATTGTTCAAAGATGGCCAAAAAGCCAACCCGAGGAGAATGTTTGGCTTCTCCAACCAGAACGAGGACTGAAGGATTAAAGGAGCACCTGGCTGGGTGTTAATTCCTGATCCACTTGGAACCTGAGCCGCTGCTGCCTTACCACACCCTGGCTGGCTCTGACCTCAGCTGCCAGTCAACTGTCCTCCTTGAAGCAGGGTCAGTCCAGGTGGGGACAGCTCATGGGTGAGGCCAGGCCAGGCAGACTCTGCCATGAGCTGTGGTGCAAGGGATGATGAGAGACGGAGGCTGGGGAGGCTGGGGCGTCCCGGCCACTTGGCAAGGGGGGGGGGGGGCGTGCTGGGCCTGGCTCTGGCCTTAGGTGGAGCAGAATGTGGCCCTGGGCATGGTGCCCACTAGCTGTGTGGTCCCGGCTGTATCACAAACTCTCAAACCCACCCCTTGTCCTGCAGTGCCACCAGAGCAGCACCCACCTCAGTGCCTGCTGTGCTGCCTTTCTGAGCAATGCACAGGAAGCACTTGACCAAGCCATGCATCAAGTTTAAGAAAGAAAGAAAGGAACTGGCACAGGGTGGTCAGCAGGACAGCAGAGAAGGAGAGGGAGAGGCGAAGGTGCCACCCTGGCAACGCACATGGGTCCCAGGCTCCTCCCAGCAGTGTCTTCATGGCCACCCCTGTGGAGGACTGATCCAGGGGAGGCTGAAACTCACCCCACAGCCACTGTGGGAGGGGCAGGGGCTGAGTCAGCAGGAAATCCAGGCACCCAGATGGGCACAACCCAGAGGAAGGCAACTCTGGCCCCTGGGAAGCCAGACCTTGCTCCCCCTGCTTCATCCCCTTAGGCGAGAACTGAGGCCTCAGCCAGTCGTGAGGACAGGAGACCCTGCAAAGTCAAGGCCTGGCCCTTCTAACTGCTGGGTCACTGTCCTGAACGGATCCTGGCTCGGGCTGCCATACAGGGAAAGGTGTGTAACAGGCAAGGAAGGGGAAAGGCACGGAGATTGGAAAGGACAGAGGAAACTGCCTGGAGAGTCTTTCTGGAAAATGCTTCAGCTCTACAGACTGCTCGAGTCGGTGTGCTGACCAGTGTCCCAGAAGTACAGACTGTAATCAGTTGTACTTCTAGGTATTTGTCTATAAAAAGTTGGTATCAAAATTTTTAAGAACATCAATGATGAGCATCAAAAACACTAAATACTCAGGGAAATGTGTCATGAAATACATGCAGAAACTGTGCACCGAAAGTTCCCAAACACTGTCAAAATAAATCAGATACCATACTTGTGGCTTGAAGATTCATTATCTTTAAGCTATCATTCTCCCTAAAGTGATCTGCAGATTAAACACATTCCCCATGAATAATCTCAGCAGATATTTTTTTTTTGAAATTTGAAACAAATTTTTCAAATTTATGTGGAAACCAAAGAATCTCAAGTATGCAAAACATTCTCAAAAACAAAAACTGAGTGATTTATACTATAGGACTTCATTTTTTAAACAGAAAAAAAAAATGGTAAATAACTAGGATTAGCAGAAGGATGAGTCACACTACTTTACAGAGACAGATCTTTCCACTTACCTAATACATGTTTATCACTACTGATACTTCTTTTCTTTTTGTCCTTTTTTTGGGGTACTAAGAGGAACTTAACCACTGAGCCACATCCCCAGCTCTTTTTATTTTTTGTGTTGAGACAGATTCTCACTATGTTGCTCGGGGCCTCACTAAGTTGCTGAGGCTGGCTTTGAATTTGCAATCCTCCTACCTCAGCCTCCCAGGTGCTGGGATTAGAAGCGCAAGCCACCACCGTGGCTCACTACGCTGGATATTTAACACAATGAAGGACCCATTCAGAGTGGCTGGCATTTCCTCTAACTTTATGAGTTTCACGTTGCCAGGATTGTATCCCAAGATAATAACAGATTCCTCTCTCCTCCTTAAAAACTACTAGTCAAGAACACAACTTCATAAATGTGGCTTCCTTGGGGCCCACCCTCCTCGGTGGTTTACAAATACAAACACATCTTAACGACCATCAACAACTGCTAGGAAGAGACTGCTCAGTGTGGAGAAGTTTCAAAAATCACATTCCCTTGAAGAGTGTTTACCGAAGAGTGCCAGGGAGTAAGTGCAGCGACCCTCGGTGTCCATGGGAATTAGATCCAGGACCCTCCTCAGAACCCAAATCCCTGCCTATTCAAATCCCTTATAGAAAAATGGAGCAGAGTACTTGATACAACCTATTTATGGCCTCCCATGTACCCAAAGTCGCTTCTAGATGACTTGCCATACCTAATACAATGTAAATGCCGTCTAAATAGTTGTACTGAATCGTTTAGGGAAGAGTGGAAGGAGAACATCTGTATGTGTGCAGCCAGATGCAGTTTGCTTTTGTTGATGTATATTTCTTTTTTTTTTTTTTACCTGCAGTTGATTGAATCCATGCAAGAGGACCCTGCAGATACAGAAGGCTGACTGTATTTGACATCCATTATCACATTTAAGAAAATTTGTTGCGGGGCTGGGGATGTGGCTCGCCTGGCATGCATGCGGCCGGGGTTCGATCCTCAGCACCACATACCAACAAAGATGTTGTGTCCGCCGAAAAAACTAAAAAATAAATATTAAAAAAAAAAAAAGAAAGAAAATTTGTTGCAGTGAAAATGGAAGTCACACGCAAGAAGTGTGAACCCGAGAACAGACCTTTTGTGTGTGTGATGCTGGGGATTGAACACAGGGCCTTGTGCGTGCAAGGTAAGCACTCTACCAACTGTTCCCTAGCCCAAGAACAGACTTTTCTCTTTGCTTCTCTCAGGAGAATGAGCATACATTGGATGTGTTTTAAATACATCAATATGTGTTTCATCTTTAAAGCAAACACATCAGATAAAGATTAGAACTGAGGCAGGAGGAAAAGAAGTACATGCTTATGGTCCTAATGCCACGTTCCTCAATGTCTGCCCCAAGGTTCCCAGAACATCACAGCAAGCTCAAAAGATATTGCACGTTCTCTGGGGAAACACGAGGCTGCATATCCCCTGGACACCTTGGGAACTAGCTCCAGCAGTTCAGTTTCAAATCGGATGGCACTACCTTCCTCTTTGCGAGTCACACCTTTGCAAAGTTGAGTGTCTGGTAGTTGCTGTGATAAAAGGAACAAAGCACATGAAACTCAATGTTGAACTGGAGACAGGGCTGGCAGGGCAATCCGAATTTGAGATTTGAAAGGTCATGTGGCACCTAACAGGTGCATAAATTCTATTCATGGGGACTTATAGTTCTTGAAAA